GCCGCCCTCAGCCATGCCCCCAACGTCAGCAACGTGGCTGCGTCACCTCTGGTGACGCGCTTCGGGGGGCGGAGTTCCCCCCGGGGCCCAATTCCACCGTGGTGGAAATCGGGCCTCCAAAGCGGGGGTTTCCCCGCCCCCGCCCCCACTTGGCAGCCCTAATATAGCATGTATTTCAGGAGCTTTAGTGAGAACTATGTAGTTGTACCCAGACAAATACCACATTCCTGGTAAAATGATAAAGAACTTGCTCTCAATTCTCTTTGTCCAAACATTAAAAAACCAGCAATCATTACAATCTAGTTTTCATTCTGAAAACTTGAAAACCTCTTTTAGCGAGACCATCAAAAGCTGAAACTTAGAACTCAATTTTTCACCTCTGTTATACACCAAAATCAATAGACCAAAGGCAAATCAGTGTTAAGTGAGCACTACAAACTATACCACAGCTTGTCATCCACTTCTATACCCTCAAGTTTTATCTGCTCCTTTGAGCCTAGATTTCAGAAATAAACTTTGTGTAAATAAGACTCTGCCCTGGCTTGGATAGCCCAGGCCAGCCCAATCTTGTCAGATGCTAGCATTTGGATGGGAGATCTCCAAGAAATATCAGGGTTGTGATACAAAGGTAGGCAATGGCAAACTACCTCTGAATGTCTCTTGCCTTGAAAACCTCACAAGGTCGCCTTAAGTCAACTGTGACTCAATGGCACTCCATCACCAAAATAAGAAGCTATGCAGAATTCAATTTCATTTAAGTCACCTTCTACCACCAAATGGTCAGACACTATCCTCTGTGGTGGGCGATGTTTGAGCCCTGCTGATGAGCCTTGCTGAACATTTTGCCATCTGAAGTTAGGGATAGTAAAGGCTCCTTTTCTCACTTATTCCCTTGTTCCATGCTAATGTGACTCCATAATACATAAACTGTAATGAATTTGTACAATTTGTACAAATGGCCAATGATGTCACAGCCTGCGGTGGACACAGCCTGTGGTAGAATCAAACGAAGCAAGAGTAGATGACAGGCATACCCCACTGGTCTATATGAAGATGTTACCCAGTTACCTATACCTCTCAATACAATAATGGAAGAAGAAGACTGTTCCCTGTTTCAATACCACAAAAGTGGTACCATGTGATATGAGTTTTTTAAAGAAGAAAAACATGACCTGAAAATCAGAGCTGCACATACCCATTTTGCCCCCTTCCCATTTCCCACTGCAACCTGTCAACCCACATCAGTAGTAGTCTGTGTAGGTCCCATAACCCCAGGAATATGCTTTCCCAAGGCCAGAAAAGACTACTGGGGGAAAGGATGTGGGAAAGATCCAGAGCCACCACTGCCTCCCATGGTTGGATTGTTTGTCACAAGTCACTGTAGTGGTAATGGCAAATAATCATTGTTTTTAATTTTATGAATCTTTAGACATGGAAAATAAAGCACTGGAAAAAATTCCACCCTGCATCTCTGCATAGAAGTGCAAAGGCTGAAGACTGAATAGAGGCAAAAAGAAAACACCTTAAGCCAGTTTTCATGCATCCTTATGTAAAAAAAAATTAGATTGCCTGAAGATGCAGAATGCTTTTCTGCTCTGCAGAACCAACTCAACAACAGAGCAATTGCTACTTGCCCTGCATCAGCTTGTTCTGTCACATCAGTAGTGACTCTATGGATTCAGTGTCAAGTCACTGTGAGCCTGTTCATCTCCTACCAAAACATACCTTTCTGGACTCTGTGGAGCATTTACAATAAAATGCAGAGAAGCTCTTATTTCATCACCCACTCCTCAAAATAATCTGTTCTCAGATCTTTCTCCCTCAGTTTTAGCTTATCTGTGAAAGTGACAGTAGATAATATCCTAACAATGCCACCACATATAAAACTAGACTTTATTTCAGGAAAGTCAGCAGGGAGTCTTCATTACAAAGTGTAAGAAGTCTTCATTTCGTCTGTTGCCACAACCCAACAATTCTTATTCTCCTTTTTTGAACATAAAAAGAGCTTATTTGGTTAACAGAGACCCTCACAGAAGCACGATATATTGAATCTTTTAAATCCTACTGAATTTTGCACATTGGTTTTTATGAAGAGGCCTACATTGTGCTAAATTCAGCTGCAGTACCAGAAGAATGGAGAGTAGCAAATGTGACATCAATTTTTAAATAGGGATCCAGAGGAGAACGAGGAAATTATATTCCATTCAGCCTAATGTCTGTCCCAGGCAAACTAATAGAAACTGTAATGAAAGAAAGGCAATAGAAAGACAAAGCTTGCCAAGGGAAAATCAACATGGCTTCTTCAAAGGGATGTCTTGCCCCACCAACCTTTTGGAATTCTTTGAGAAAGTGAACAAGCGCATAGACATTATATAGGTAGACTTTCAAAAGGCTTTTGACAAGGTACCTCACAACAAAGACTCCTGAGTAAACTTAGAAGGCATGGGATAAGAGGATGAGTTATGTTGTGGATTAACAACTGGTTAAATGGAATTTCATATAAAAACTACCTTGTAACACTTATTTCTTTTTATATTTGATTTTAAGCTAAAAACTCTATAATGTGACTTAAAAACAAATAATAATAGCTGTATGGAATTTTGTAAGGCTGTAGCAAAAGATAAATATTATCATGACTTGTATGAGACTTGTATTATCATGACTTGTTTTTCCTTTAGGGTTAATATACAATTTCTAGAACACTTTGCTTATAGAATGACCGTGTATAAGCAGTAGGATATTAAGGATACATAATTATATGAGTAAGGATTGGTTTTGTAATTATAAGATTTGAATATGAGAATCCATAGATATGTAATGAATACAACTGAAACATGATTATAAAAGAGTACTAAGGTAATAAACTTGTATCAGTATTTGTATGAAAACTTTTATAAGGAATGTGAAGTTGAATTTAGTATTAGGCTATGTCTTTCTCCTTAAGGGTTAATATATAATCTTTAGAATGCTTTGGTTATAGAATGGCTGTTTATAAGCAGAAGGATATTAAGGATCCATAATTATATGAGTAAACATTTGTTTTGTAGTAAAAGATTAAGAGGTTATAAAAGATTTGACTATGAGAATCCATAGATATGAAATTAATACAATTGAAACATGGTATAAATGTCTTCTAAGAAGTTACAAATGATTTTATGATGCAAAAGCAATAACTTGGTTTTTTGCAGATATCAAGAAATGTATGGACTTAAGTGACCAGATTCAACACAAAGAATTATCTGATTGTATAAATAGGATTATTAATGTAATGTAACAGAGTCTGTAAAAGTAACTGTAAGCACTATTCTCTTTTTCCGTTTTGTAGAAGAAGAAGAAGAGATAGGATTTATACCCCGCCCTTCACTACCCAAAGGTGTCTCAGAGTGGCTTACAAACTCCAGTCTGGTGTAGTGGTTAAGTGTGCGGACTCTAATCTGGGAGAACCGGGTTTGATTCCCCACTCCTCCACTTGTACCTGCTGATGTGACCTTGGGTCAGTCACAAGCTCTGGCACAGCTGTTCCTGAAAGAGGGGAAGGGAAAGGAGTTTGTAAACCGCTCTGAGACTCCAAGTGAAAGGTGGGGTATGAATCCAATCTCTTCTTCTCTTCTTCCCCTCCCCACAACAGACACCCTGTGAGGTGGGTGGGGCTGAGAGAGCTCTTGACAGAAACTGCTCTTTTTCAAGAACAGCCCTTATGAAAGCTATGGCTTGCCCAAGGTCATGCAGCCAGGTGCAAGTGGAGGAGTGGGGAATCAAACTCGGTTCTCCCAGATTAGAGTCCGCACACTTAACCACTACATCAAACTGTACCCCTTCCCTATTCCCTACTTCCCTTTTTTCTTTAAAAAAAACAACAATACTTTTTTAAAAAAAAACTGGTTAAATGACAGGAAGCAAAGAGTAGGAATCACTGGACAGTTCTCACAATGGAGGGAAGTAAGCAGTGGGGTTCCACAAGGATCGGTATTGGGGCCAGTATTTAATTTATTCATCAGTGATATGGGACTAGGGGTGAGGAGAGTAGTGGCCAGGTTTGCAGATGACACAAAATTATTTAGGATGGTGAAAACCAAGGCTGACTGTGAAGAACTCCAAGAGGACCTCCACAAACTGGGTGAATGGGAGACAATGTGGCAAATGAAGTTCAGTGTTGGTAAGTGTAAGGTGATGCATATTGGGAGAATAAATCCCAACTTCAAGCATAGGCTAATGGGGTCTGAACTTGCTGAGACTGAGAGGGGAAAAGATCTTGGGATCGTAGTGAATAGCTCAATGAAAGTGTCATCCCGGTGTGCTGCAGCAGTGAAAAAAGGCAAACTATACGTTAGGGATTATTAGGAAAGGGATTGAGAATAA